CTGTGGTTCGGTTATCACTGGCTGCAAGTGAGTCTGCTCTTAACTCCATACTGTTATTGCTTCCATGTCTAAATAAGTATGAAATAGAAATTCTAAAGGTGAACTGGCTGATTAGTGTTACATAAAACAAGCCACACCTCTATCTTAAGAAACCATAAAAAAAGCAAAAAACTCCCACGGCAAGTAGGAAGAAGGAAATAGATTAGAAATTAATGAAACTTAAAACAAAACAAAACTCTTAGATAATATCAATAAATTTACAGGCTAGGGCCAGCCAGATAACTCAGGGGACTAAAGCGCCTGCTTAGGCAGGCGCAGAGACATTTCAATCCCCGGCACGCTGTGCCAGCCCTGCCCCTGGAGCATCCTGAAACTGCATTAAGACTGGGTGTGGTGGCGTACACCTGTAATCCCAGCACTTGGGAGGCTGAAAATAGCAGGATTACTACGAGTCTGAGCTGTGTAGTGAGCCCTTAGAGACCCTGTACTAAATACATTAAATAAATAAATTTATAGGTTCTTTAAAAATAGTTATTCAATTAATAAATCTCTTGTTAAGATTGACAGAAGTCACAAATTACCAACAAAGGAGGGAATACCAATGATGCCTACGGTACAAGATAAAGAAGTAATACACACAATTCCACACAAACAGTTCAGACAAAATACACCAACTTCTTAAAATCACAAAACTTACCCAAATATATCAATGAGCCTGGTTAATAACAAATAAAACTGAATCCATAGTAAAAATCTTTCTCAAACAAAAATTTCTATGCCCTTGATGGTTTCAATGGTAAATTTTACCAAATATTTAAATTCTACACAGCCTCTTCCAGAAAAATGGAACAAGGATACCTCCCAACTCATCTAATTCTGAATCCAAAAATACATAAATGCTATAGCCCAGTAACCTTCATGAAAAAAACAAGTATTCTCAACATAACATTACAATTTTTAATTCAGTATTATACAAAAATCATAATAGAAGTCAACCAAGTGAGATTTACTGTGCAAATGTAAAGCAGACTTCAATAATCAAAAGTCAGTGTGAACCAACATCTTGACATCCTAAAGGGGGGAAGATCATTACCAGTCATACAGAAAAAGCATTTGACAAAATTTAACATGTTTTCATGATAAAAACTTACAAGCCTATTGTGTCATACATCAGGAATTACCAGCACTCTAGGAGGCGGAGGCAGGAGGATCATGAGTTTAAGCCCCGTCTGTGCAATTTAGTGACTTGGCAAGACTGCATCTCTAAAAAAAAAATAAAATAAAAAAATAAAAAATAATAATAATAATAATAAAAAAGAATTAGAGATTCAGTTCAGTGCAATGGCTCTGGGTTCCATCAACAATAACTACAAAAGAACAAATAAAACTCAGGACAGGCAAAATAGAAGGGAATTTCCAGCCTTGTAAAGTTTTTTTTTTTTTTCCTCATAACTAGGGACTGATCTCCCCAGCCCCTGTAAAGCCTTTCTTAAAAAACAAAAAACTAGCTACATTGTACCTAAAAACAAAAAACTAGCTACATTAAGGGTGTAAGACAATGTTTTTCCTCTACAACTTGAAACAGGAAGCAAGACAAGGATCTCCTCGCTTACCAATACTTTTCAACACTGTAATAGAAATTCTAGCTAGTGTGCTATGGCAAGAAACAGAAAAGGCAGTAACTATAAACAGACACAATCAAAGCATAAAAACTGGATCTCTCAATTAGAGAGTAACATACTCAGGATTCCTTAATGAAAGGAAAATTTTTGACTATCATAAAAAGAATTATTCCAGTCAGGTCTAGATGCTCTGTTACATTTTTAATTATGGAAAGTTCACTTGATATATTAGGATACTTATTATTGCAGTTGAATATTAATATTCAGATTGTAACAACTGGGTTAAAAATAGCACAAGAATTGGGAAGAAAAGCAAGCTATATAAACACAGTACCTCCAAATGTAAAAATAAAACTTGTAATAATAGAGTATTTTTAAGGGTATAGAGATTTTTTACCAAAATACAAAATTTAAAGGCTAAAGAGAAGGAAAATGCTAGAAAAATTTGTGGCTACCAAGAAAAGAAGGCATCAAACCAAAACAGGGTTAACATGGAAATAAAATTAATTTAGGAATGAATTTCAAAGAATGATGCAAAATAATATTGTAGAGAACCAATTTAATTTGGCTGTATGGGGAAGAAAATTTGTCATTTGATAATAAAATATAAAACCGAAACAACAAAAGAACTAAAATTAATCAAAATTTAAAAATAGTGAAAAAGCAACCCACAGAATGAGGGAAAATATTTGTAAGTCATATATTCGAAAATAATTAATAGCTAGACTAGAACTAGAACACAAAAAACCCCAAATCCCTTAAAAACAGGTAAAGTACTGGGTATATGTAGCTAAATGTTACAGCACCTTTTTAATGTGTATGATGCCGTGGATTCATTATGACTTCCTGTATCTACAGCCTATTTGGAAAGAATTAAATGTGATTATATTTATGTTAAATACATCACTTAACATCTCCAAATTTAAAGGACGAATCAACACACAGGTTGAGAGACAAGTCAAAGTGTATTGTGAATGCATTTTTACCATCAGATTTAAAGAATCAAGGGCAATTACTAGACTTTTGGAACCCAAAGACTTAATTTGACTTCTTATAAAAATAACACTTATATAATTATACTGTGGATGTAACACAGATTGTACTCAGACTACATTTTCAAGTCATTTGTAATTTTTAGAGCTGCTGTTGCGGGCATCTGAAGCCACGAGCTACACAAGCTAGGCAGGCACTCACTGGGGCTGAGGGCTCCAGGAGGGAGGGAAGAAGGGGATGTAGAAAGGACCAAGACGCAGTGTGTACATGAACCAATTACCCACCGTGAAGACAATCATAATGTATTGCAAACATACACTAGTAAGAGAAAAAGCACTCTTTCAATGAGCCAGATTCCTAGCTCTGTGTAAGTTTTTCACACGAGACTATAAATCTCTAGCAGTTTCATCATTTCCATTGACACTACATTAGAAAAAATTTGCAGTATTTCATTTGCTTTTAGATAATTTACATTTAAATATTACCCAACTTTCTCACCCATAAAAAATATTTTGAAAGTTCATGTATAAAACTAATAAACAACAAAAACAAGCTTCAAGATTAAGCTGCCCAAACATTTTGTAATAGCATGGAGTTGGTAGGAGGGGAGAAGTTTAAAAATACCAATTTATCTAGTCTAGCTTATACCCCAAGTTCTCTCAAATTAGTTTTGTCATTTTGCTTATTTAACAACAATTGTGCGGGGGCAGGGGAAATAGCTCAGTGGCAGAGTGCCTGCCTGGCAAGTTTAAGATCATGAGCTCAGTTCTTGGTACTAAACAAACATATGCTGGGTATGATGGCACACACTTGTAATCCCAGCACTTGGGAGGCTGAGGCAGGAGAATCCCTGAGTTTGAGGCTGGCCTGACCTATATGAATTATATAGCAAGACCCTGTTTTGTTTTTTTTTTTTTAAATGTATCTTCAACAGATATAATCCAATCATAGAACAATTTCAGGGCATTTTGTATAATCATACGATTTACAAAGGTTAGAACAAAAGAAATTTTGGATCAAGTATTTTGCGAACTATTACCCTTAGGACACATTGACCAAGAGCGGTTTCCTCAATACTAGCAACGAAGTATTATTTTTTGGGACCCTTACAACGTCTAGACAAATTTTTAGCTTTGTAATAAGAAAACATTTAACTGTGTCTACCAGAGAAGAAAAGTTTTAGAGAAACTGGCTAAATGAGATACGCCACACACATTTGTACCTCTGTCAAGCAATTTAACATTATGAACATTTGAAGAAAAGTTCTTTTCTGCATGCTAGGCTCAGGTCAGTAGCACCTTCACCGCATCTAGTGAGTATTTTAACGTCTAGCGCTTCGCATTATGGTACTCAGCTTTAAACGGACCAACTATGATGGCACTAATTCTCTAAAGAGATGCCTATTCCACAAGCCAGTCTTCCTTTTCTTGAGGACATATACAGTATGTTCCAAAAAATTCTTCGATATTATTTTAAAGCTTTCTTGCTCAAAATCAAAAATCTTCCTATATTTCAAAACTAAAATCAATTCTAATCATGGGAAAATTTTTTTACTAGTAGTTTGAAATAAATACAAAGTGAATGAAGTAGCACCTGCAGGTAGACACAAGGATTAAGAGAAAAGGGTTTCTTAGGAAAATCCTACATTTTATGTAGAGTATCTCTTAAGCTCCCTCTGCTACTTTAAGTAAAGGAGGGGGGAAAAGGTAGACCTGTATTCTTAGGGGCGATGACAGGAGACACAAGATAAAAAGATGAAGTTAACAATGCTATTGTTGAAATTGAAAGGCAATTATGGTTGACAATAATTAATCATATTCTTCAAAACAGTTAAATAGATTTTGTTTACAACACAAAGAAATAATAAATATCTGAAGTGATGAATATGCTAATTACCCTCTGCTCTATGATGTGCTATTGTCAATTAAAAATAAATATGTTTTTTTAAAAAAAGATTTTCTTAATGTAGGGCTAGACTAAACTCTTAAGAGCTGATACCTAATAAGATTTTGGGACTTTAAATTAGGAGAAGGAAATGAAAAGGGGCATTTCTGCCAAATCTGAATGTATTGGCTATGAAATTGGTATGCTAAAATATGAAACCTGCCAGGCGTGGTGCCAGCGCATGCCTGTAGTGCCAGCACTCAGGTGGCTGAGGCAGGAGGATGGTTGAGAGTTCAAGATTAGCCTGGGCTACCAAGTGAGCTGAAAGCCAGCTTTAACTATACAGCAAGACCTTGTCTCAAAAACACACACACAAAAAAGCAAAACCACTTACATCAACCTCACATGGCTGTATCTTAGTATTAGAAAAACTGAGAACTGAAATATGTTTAGGAACTTCACTAGAACAAAATGCTTATGCCACAATATTTAATATACTTAGTTTCAATATTAAGCTTTATTTTTTTGGGTGAGGTTAAGGTAACAATTTAAATAATTATCAGGATGTGTAAATGAACATCCACTCAGATAAAATATTACTGCTTAAAAGTGGCTATCTAAGAAATATTTTGCATGTAATAAATATATTCTAAGTTTAGGTTAACAGGCACCATTCTGAGAGGAGAAAAGATTTTTGTAACCAATAAATAAATTACATTCAATAAAACAAGGTGTCTATCTGAAGTATGATATATCCTTAAATGTTTTTCTTCATATAGCACCCAAACTTCCAAACTGTTTAGAAAGTATACTAAAAATATAACTCATACTTTACATCATAAAAATGGCCGAGGGGGAAAAAATCAATTGAGGACAAATTTACAGTTTATATTCTTAATTCCTCATTCAATAAAGTATCAATTGCCAATTTATTAAAGGTAAATGACTGTATATACGCAACCTGTTAGTGCTGAAAACCTGCTGTATACATATATATTTAAACATCACTCTTTCTCATAGTATTTAAAATACTGCACTTCTGGTGCCAAACCTGCAAATTATCAAGCATTTCATTTTCCCATTTTCATACTTCCACCCCTACTCTGATCGCTTTTTATTTTTAACATCCATCCATCCAACATTTTGGTTTGGTTCTGTAAATACCCCACTTATGTCCCAACACAAAACACTGACAATATTCCTTGGTAAACAAGGAAATCCCAGAATAGTCCGAGCACACAGCTTTGCTCCAAAAGTGTGGCACAGGCTAAATGAAAAATGAAAAACAATCAATGCCCCTTATTGATGCAGTCAGAATGCTCCTGAGAGTCCTTCACTTTGAGAATTTGCTGATGCAATCCTGAAGGAAGTTTCAACAGATTCTTCAGACAAGGATCAGAGAATAAGTCTTTGATTGATAATTTTTCTATTTATTTCTGCCAAGGCGACCGAAAACACGAAAGCCTTTTCATCAGAGAGGTTAGCATAGATGTCAATTTCCTTTTCCTGTTTCTCTGTTAAAAGAAAAAGGAAAGCTTAATATCAAGGCAGCAGATGCAATAATTTTTAAAATGTTTTAACACTTTTAAAAGTGTTTCTTCAAATGACAATAAGTTTTACGCATATTACAATATATAATGTTATACTATTAAACTGAGATTTTTAAAAAAGTACACATGGGGGCCGGGGAGATAGCTCAGTGGAATAAGCACTTGCCTGGCAAGTGAAAGGACCTGAGTTCAATCCCTGGTTCCGTAAAAAAAAAAAAAAGTACACATGGGTACTAAAAGAAAGAGCAGATAGTGACTCTGTAGTTTTATACATACACAGTCTAATAGTTACAATTTCTCAAAATTTCATGTATTTCTTTCTCCTCACTAGTATGAAGTGCCTCAACCAAAATTAAATTTCTCATCTTAGAAGATGGTCCTTTTTGAATATCAATGGTTACTTAATGAATATACTAACATCTTTACTTCAGCCCTACTATAGGAAGAATAACCATATTTATTTATATTTTCCCCTCATAATACAAATAGAATCCAAGTTCAGAAACTGAAAAAAAAACCCTATTAAATCATGAACCATCTTAAATTACAATTAACATCTTTATATTCCTCCAAATTATTGTTTTCGGACTGTACTGTGGTTCTATTTTGTTTTGACATTTTAGCCCAAGTTAAACACAAGTGATTTAGTTAAATCCTCTTCATAAAACTTTGCAAAAACCAGAAGTCCATCCTCTCATGTACACTTCCTACTTTCTAGATTTTTTGGTGTTTTTTTTTTTCTAGTTGCTCCTTGTTTTTATAAAAACCTGACCTCAACATTTTCTAAGATTTTATAAGTAAGATGCAACTTCCTCATTTTAGGCATTACATACTCACTTTCTACTGTGCAAATTTAACATTTAACTGTTTTGCAAGTTTGTCTTTATTTTGTTTTTTTGAGACCGGGTCTCACTACGTAGCGCTGGCTGGCCTTGCTTCAGCAGAAGCAGTGCTGCTGCCTTAGGTGATCCTCCTGCCTAGTACTAGGATTACAGGCCTGTGCCACCACACACAGATTCGTTTTTTATGTTTTTTGTTTTGTCTTTTTGAGACAGGGTCTTGCTATGCAGTTCAGGCTGGCCTTGAGTTCACCTTAGGCCAGGGTGGTCTTAAAACTCATAACTACCCTGTTGTCTCAGCCTCCAAAGTGCTAGGATTACAGGTGTGTGCCAACACAACCTGGCATCTCTGTCTCTGTCTCTGTCTGTCTCTGTCTGTCTCTCTGTCTCTCTCTCTCTGTCTTTTGCTTCTCTTGTCCCACCATAAACACTCTGCTTATTCTGTCATCTCATTCTAGCTAAGTAGTAATATCAGTAACATCAATTTTCAATTGAATATTGAAATTCAATTCAATTTTCAAAATCACCATGCTCGTGAGTCATTTTTCCTGAATATTGTTTTCTCAGAAAGAATTCTTTCTCTCTTCTTATTTGCTTAGTTTGCATTTTAACTTCAACTCCAATCTCTCCTAGCTGAAGAAACTGGTCAGGAGTATGTTAAAATATTAGGTATTTTATCCGTTTTATCTTCTTGAAGAAATTGTTCCAAGCCTTCCAACCTGCTCCACCCTGAAATGGTTGCTCACTAGGCCAACTACACAACTGATCTTATTGTCGTTTTCCAAGGAACTTCCCATCTTCTGCCTCAGTGGGATCCTTTTTATCCTGATCCTAGCATCTTCCTTGACTTGCTTCATTATGGTGGTATGTAATAGAAACAGATTCTTGAGAAAGGGGGAATGGGTAGCAAAATTTCTGAAACTCTGAATATCATAAAGTATATTTAGTTTATCTTGAGTGAAGACTTATAGGCTTCCCCTTAGAATTGTAAGCAAAAAACTATCCTCTGTTTGGCTTGAGAAAACCCAAAACCTTTTTATAGCCATTTTAAAATTTGCTAACTTTATATTTAGTGACATACACAGATCCTCTAAATAGACAACTAGATGAGTTCTGACAAATGCATATACCCAAGTATCCCAAATCAATACAGAACATTTCCTTCACTCCAGAAAATTCATGCTCTTTTCTAGTCAACTGACATTCACCAGCACCAACATACTAACTTCAATTATCACAGCTACACTGTCTTTTTTTTTCAACATCAGAATAAACAGGATTGTGTAGTAAGTATTCTTTTTTGCCGAGCTTCCTTGACTCAGCGTGCTTATCAGTCATATCAATTTACAGTCTGCTGATTGCTACACAGTATTCCAATATATTAAATCTAATATCATTTTGTACATCTTTTTTTCCCCTTGAAAACCTACAAAATTTTCTCTCTAACCAAAGATATGTAATGATATGCCTGATATCATTTCTATTTTTAACTAGCTACTGGATAGAGAATTTCATGGTCCTTTTACTATGGAAACTCACTGTCCTTCAGATTTAGGAAATTCTGTTGAAATATTTCACTGAAGGTTAATGTCTCCATCTTTTACACTCTTTTTCTGAAACTTCAGTTATTTATAAATGTTGTATTTCAGATTGGTGGTCTGAATTTTGTATCATTTCCTTTACTTTCCTTTTATTTATTTTTTCATTTTTATGCCTTTGGTACAGGGTCTAACTACACAGCTCAGACTCATAGTGATCCTTCTGTTTGTAGCCTCCCCAGTGCTGGGATTACAAGTGTGCACCTCCATGCCCAGACTCGTTTGCAGACTCAGAGCATTCCGAGGCAGGGATGGTAGGGATGCAGGAGCAGGGATTGAACCCTGGTCCCTGTGCTTGCCAAAGCAGGCACTTAGTCTGCTGAGCTATCTCGCGGGCCCTACTTTCCATTTTAAATCTCTTTTCCTACTGCTACACTTTCTGGAATTTTTTTAAAAAATTTATTCTGTGAATTATGTTTTTATTTGTTTATTTACTTGTTTATTCATGCCGAGAATCAAACTCAGGACCTCGTACTTGTGCCTCTGAGCTATATCCCCAGCTGAATTTTATTTTATTTATTTTTTTTGCTCCTCGAATGCTTTCAGGGCACTATTGGCTGGCTGGAGGGTGGTGGGGATCGAACTAGAATAAGCTGCGGCTGACAGCTTTGTGGAAGCAGCCACTTAAAGAACTGAGCTAGAGCCAGGCCCCCCGTGAATTTTAAAAAGTATTTAAAAATTTAGTTTGAAATTCACTTTCTAGGTACCTTCCTTACCTGTACAACTGCCTTTCAAACACTTTGCTTTATCATACCTTCTTTTGCTAAGGACAGTAATGATACTCTTTCCCCTCTCCCTATAAAAACTTTTCTCCTAATTATTTTTTCTCTCCTTGAGATTTAGTCTCAGTCTTTCACCCTGTATTATTTCTTCTGTATATCTAGGTAATTCATGATAATATGTTCACATTTAAAAGCATGAACAAAAAAGCTGATTAGAAGCATATGCACCTGAAGGGAGACAACTAAGGTCATCAGACCACAACGATCTAACAAGGCCATTTCTTGGTGAAACTGCTAACAACAGTATGTATTTTTATCTTAGGCCTTTTCTCTTGGGCTCTTCAGATTCCCTAAATAAAATAACTTCTCTTTTACCTGAAAGACATAGTAAGCCTAACCAGAGAACTCATAATTTACCAGGTCCAATTTTTACCTAGTCTTCTTGGGCTTTGTGTAGAATCCTTGCCCTCAACAATGTCTGGTGTTCCGTAAGTTAGAGACTATTTCACCTTACTCTTTTCAAAAGATAAACTTAGGATGGGCCAGGGAGACAACTCAGTGGCACAAGTGCCTGACTGGCCTGCACAAGGTCCTGAGTTCCATCCCTGAAAAAAAAAAAAAAAAAGAAAAGAAAAGAAAAAGAAAGAAAGAAAGAAAAGGGATGGCCAAATAGCTCAGCAGATTAAAGCACCTGTAAGCAGGGGCAGGGGCCGGGGATTCAATCCCTAGGCCTGCAGTGCCAGCCCCACCCCTGGGGCAAGCTGAGATAGTGATTGAGACTGGGCGTGGTGGCGCAGGCCTGTAATCCCAGCTCTTGGGAGGTTGTTAACAGGAGAATCACTATGAGTCTGATCTAGTAGTGAGACCCTGAACACCCTGTAGATCCTTCCCTAAAATACAAGAAAAAAAGATAATGAAGTTTAAAAAGCAAACTGTTTCTTATACACATTATCAGGTTTTTCCTAATTCATATTATAGTTAAAGCTTGCTTCAAATTTAAGTGTCTTAATAGCAGAGAATAAAAACAGAACTAAATTATTAGCCCTAAGAAGCATTACCAAAGAATTCTAAAGTATACAAATATTTCAAAGTTTGTAGTTCTTAGTCATATTCTATTTAGAGAGCAATAGTCCAAGTCAGAATTAGGAAGCAGCAATCTGCATGCCAAGTCTCACTGCCTGTTTTTAAAATAATGTTTTACTGGAACACAGCTGGGCTCACTCATCTACACACAGTTTACAGTTGCTTTCTAGCTACAATGACAGAGCTGAGTAGCTGCAACACAGACTTCATGGTCCACAGAGCCTGAAGTAGCTTGTTGTGCGAAGTTTGCTGACTCCCATCTACATTAAAATATTTCATTTTATGTTAGAAAAACAGCACTGAACTAGTCTGTGCAATTTGTATCAAAAAATGCTAAAAGTATATCTTATATTAGGAATAGCTTTCGTTAAAACTTCCTATAGTAAACTGGAAATGCCTGAAAATATTTGCAGCAAAAAATCCTTTTTTGAACTTAATTATGAAATAAAAATTCAAGCCTTATATATAAAGTCAGTTCTACTACACACTTGTACAGACTTTACTTAACAAACTAATGAAAACTGTCATTATCTGTTCCCTCATCTCCTCTGACCAGCAGGAACATTCCTTCAGTTCTTACACTTAGATTCCTTTTACTTAAACCGAACAGAATATTCTGGATTTTGGATCAAGCAGTATTTCTCTTTTCTTTCTTCTCTGTTGACTTCTTTGTCCAGTGTCCCTCCTAAAATAGTCCTTAAAAGACTTCCTGATAATCTCACTATTAAAGAAACACATTCAAACTAAACACCTCAGTTTTTGGAACAGCACAAGAGAAAAAATAGTAAAAAGTATCTAAAAATTAAAAGAGTAAAAGTACAGCCTTCACAGAATACAGTCAACATCATTATTAGATAATATATATCAACATCATAATGATATAAACTTTATTTCTTTAGTCACACATTAAGATACCTATCCCTTTGATAGAAGCCAATGGCACCAGTGAAGTTATTTTCCTTAATAGACTCTTACATAGTTATATCTGGCCGCCATCAATAGCAGGTCTTTATTCAAATAATAACACACAAAGCAAATAGTAAATACTAGAAAAGTCTGTGTCTCTGCAGAAACTTATATTTACACAGAAAACTGAGTACCTATGACTAAATAGCTGAAGAACAGCAAAGCAAAATACAAATGATGCAAATAATTATAAATCTATTTGACTGAAAATGAAATAATTCTGACAGACGTTTTTAGAGAATTATAAACAACAATTAATCTTTTTTTTTTTTTTTTGATGGAACCAGGGATTGAACTCAGGCCCTTGTGCTTGCCAGGCAAGCACTTATTCTACTGAGCTATCTCCCTGGCCTTTTTTTTTTCATTAATTACTGGCTCGAAAATATCCTCTTCCCTTACACAGGGTCTTACTATATTGCCCAAGCTGGTCTCAAATTTCCCGGTTCTAATGATCTTCCCACCTCAGCATTCCAAGTACCTGGGACTACTGGCACACACCACTGTACCTAGCTGAAAGTTATTTGAAAAAAGATATTTATAGGCATAGAGAGGTACATTATGCTATCCTCTTTGTTCTTGTATGTTGAAATAATTTGTGATAAAACTTTTAAAAAGGCATCATAACTAAAGTTTTAATTAATAGCTATAAGCCAGTCCTGGTCAGAGGACAGGAGAACACCTTTAAGAAGAAACAGAAATTCACTTTGGCTGAGGAAGAATTTACCTAACTATACAAAAGCTTCCTCAATGTATGGAACACACAAATCTCCCAAAATGCAATTTAAAAACTCATACCAAGAAACTTTAAATAGCAAATGTTTTAAATTCACAGTATAACAGCTTTAAATTAAGTCTTAATTTGGTCTTATCTATAAAAAAACTATAATAATTTTAGGCTTCTCAAAGATGACCAGTACGAATTATTACCTCTGACCTCTACTATCATCAGTTTATAACAAACTAGCTTTTACTTATTTTAAATCTTTAGGGTTCCACTAAGATTTTTTTTTTTTTTTAATTAATCCTCTACCACAGAGGGAAGGAATGCTTTCAAACTAAAATGAGTTGATTTATCTACAGGAGCTCAAGGCCTTCACTTTCTTCACTACTGCCTGAGATCTCTGATCAGTTTAATACTTGAGAAAAAGCTGCTTGAATTTATTCATACCTCTTTCTTCCTCATGTTTTTTGGCAGATGCACTTTTAGGTCTTCCTCTTCCTCGTCTGATATGATCTGAATGGCTGTTACTTCGAGATCTCTTTCTGTTTTCTAAATCTTTATTTACTGTAGAATTTATCTTCTCTCTCCTAACTCTCTCTGTTCGCCTCCTCTTGGCCTCATGCTTGTTTTCTGTATGGGTGAATAAAAATGATATATTTTAGGGCTTAGCAAGAACTCTGTGCCCAAGTTCTCATTGTCTTCCTTTTAGTTTCTAAATAGCACTAGGATAAGTTTCCTGACATATTTTATAGAACTGCAAAATATGCCTCCCTCAGCCACACAGAAAAAAGAAACAACAGAATTCAGATTCACAAAATATATGAGTTATGAGGGATCTTGGAAAACAAAACCAGTGTGTTTTACTTGACTGCTTTAATTTCTTTCTTTCTTTTTTGGCGGAACGGGGAATTGAACTCAGGCCCTTGCGCTTGCCAGGGAAGCGCTCATTCTACAGAGCCATCTCCCCGCCCCTGACTGCCTTAATTTCAGCCCTTACAAATTCAATCAATTTCACAGCAATCTTTCTGCATTTTTTCACTCCTGTTTCCAGCTAAAATGGTAAAATATCTGAAAAAGGAAAAAAATTCCATTCCTTTTTGTATACTGAATTATAGATAGAAATGTCAGATATGTAGAAGCAAAATTGACCTTAAATGTCATAAAATATAATAAAAATCAGACAGCATCCATAGAAAATATTTAAAAAACACTAGAAAAGGAAATGGCATTCACTGATGAAGTAGCTATTAAGAGAATATGAAATTTATTTTTTTTTTCATCTCGATGCAGAAAAGGAGAATATGAAATTTACAGGGTCATCTAATTATTTGAAAAAGTTACCCATTCACTTCAAACAAAAATGCTAAATATGACAAAAACATGTAAAGTAAGCCCAGAATGGTGCCATACACCTGTAATCCTAGCTACTCAGGAGGCCAAGCAGAAAGATCATTAAGTCCAAAGAAAGAGTGGGCAAGTTAGTAAGACTGTCTCAAAATCTGAAAATGGAGACGGAGTAGGTGGACATGTAGCTGTGTGCTAGAGTACATGCCTACATGCATGAGACCCTGGGTTCAATTCCCTGTACACCACACACACACACACACACACACACACACACACACACGACAAAAACTTGTTTTAATATATATCTGAATCAAAACAGAGAAAAAGAATTCCCTAAGTGCCTAAAGTCATAGCGTAAAAGGTTAAAACAAATAGGAAAATTCATATCCAAAGAGCTAAAGAAAATAAAGTAAAAAACTATAGTAAGGTACTATAACAACAGAAAAAAGAAAAAGGTAAAATATTAATGATTATCTCTAAATACCACACATTTCCTTGGAAAATTACTTCTAAATGTGAGATTAAACATATACCGGATGACACAGAACATTATTAGAATGCTATCAAAGGTAACTAGGCTCTGTTAAAACACTCAGGGTCTAACTTTAAAAGCTACCCACTGACCGTGGTAGTATTATAGACAACTAACTTAGGTAGAAATATAGTAGGAAATCGAACTGGGTTTGGCCCTTGAGGAAGTCAGTGCAGAAGATGAGAGTGCATCAGGACCGCAGCTGGAAGTGCATCTGAAGATTGAAGCCACCACAATGGCTAGCTCTACATACTTCCCTAAGAGGTGAAGGGTGGTTTGGGATGGCTGCTCTCACCCTTTGAGATTTCCCATTACCTCATTGGGGTCGGGGGGCATCCTCTCGCACATGTCCTCTCATGTGCAGATTATACAGATTATAGACCCACGTCAGTGATGTCACCTATGCACCCTTGCTACCATGAGATCTGGATCCCCTAAGCCAATATACTTGCAATCTTACTGGCTGATCATAATTTTGACCCACATTGTACTCGCCCCATGATTTTGCTCTTAAAATCTATCCTATGCCCATTTGTATTCCCTATTTCTTTACTGCCAATTTTCCTACTCTTACACTGCTTCTTGGAATCATTCAACTTTAGGGGATACAAACTCAGTATCTGGCATTTTCCCTATATCAACAGGACAATCTTAACATCAATTACAAACAATTAATTGTAACAGAATGAAACATATTAAGCATTTATCCTGCTTCTTGTTTCTTTTTTGTTGTTTTGTGAGACAAGGTCTCACTACACAGTTTAGGCTGGCCTTGAACTCACTACATAGCCCAGGCTGGCCTTGAATGTGTGGGGATCTTCCTGTCTCAGTATTCAAATGCTGGGATTACAGGCATGCACCACCAGCCTGCTTTTTCTATTCAAACTGCACCACTTATTTGTAAACCAAAGAGTAGAGGCAGGGAAGCTTCTAGTTTACAATTATTAAAGGTAATAAATAAAACGATTGACAGAATCAGAGAATTATTTTTCAATCTATAACACACTAAAAGACCTAACCATTATACATTAACTGCTAACATAATTAAAAGAGAAATAAGCAGATTTTAAGTCTCCTGACAGAAGTACATAACTGCTGCCTATTAAGTAGTCATGTTTTGAAAAACTCCAGTTGCTATTATCAACATTTATATCTATGCTTTCATAACAGAAGAGTGGTGAGTGTATGATGATGATGACAACTTTGACGCTGGCCATGTGAGCCAAAGTTCCATGACAGCAAGAGGCAGTAAGAATCAAGTGATATGAACACAGGAAATGCAGAACTCCTTGATGCAGAAGACAAAGGAAACACAACGTGAGTTTATACCTGATGAGTCAAAATATTGCAAAATGGCCACACAAGCAAAGGGAATGATCCAACAATATAGTGAAGGTGTTGGCAGGGGTGAAGCCTAATGGACAGAATGTCAGCACTCACATTCACTGGAAACTTTAACAGATAAAACACTACACAAGCTGAAGTACAAGCAAAATATTCTATTTGCACCAATATCCATAGTCAAAACTGTATTTACTATGACACCTCACTAGCTGAACTGAAAGCATTCATGCATCTGCTATGCTTAGCTTGGATTTGTTATGGTGATCACAGAAATGTAGAAGACCTATGGGTCAAAATATGGAATAGGGGCCTGGGGAGATAGCTTGGCAGCATAAGGGCCTGCCTGGTAAGTGCAAGGTCCTGAGTTTGATTCCCAGTACCACAAAAAAAAAAAAAAAAAAAGGCACAGGGGCTTGGAAGATAGCTTGGTGGCATAAGTGCCTGCCTGGCAAGCACAAGGTCCAAAATTCAATCCCCGGTACCACATGCCATGCTGGCCCCAAAACCAGGTTTAGTGGTGCACACCTGTAATCCCAACAGCTGAGAAAGGAGGATCACTATGAGTCCAAACTGTATAGTGAGACCCTGTACCCAACAAACAAATAAATAAATAAAATATGGCATAAAAATTTATGTCCTTGTAGATGCAAAGACTTATCATGTTTTCAGTTTAGACATTTATCCTGGACTCAGGTAGCAATACATTGAATTATGTTGTGAACAGACTGGTTTCCATCTCTCAAACTATTCAGAATGTGACATTTGACAACTGGTTTACTGGTTTCCAATTGATACTAACTTGCTAAAAGCACAAGTTGAGTAATACAGGAACTGTACACAGGAACAGAGCAGAAATTCCAAATGAAATGTTGCAATCTCAAAACAGGGAATTGCATAGTGCAAAGATTTCAGAAAGCTGTGACACTGGCTTCCTATATGGCAAAGAAAAACAAACTGTTACTGCTGATGTCAACATTTCACCATGATGGAAATGATAGTGAAATCTTTACAAAATGCAAACTTTCAGCAACAAAATCAAAGGTGAAACAGATGTTGTTGATGAGTTATACAGCAATTACATTATTTAAATACAAAGCTTGCCCAATGGTTGTGTTTTACTCCATCCTAAACATATGTGGTATAAATAGGTTACTAGCTTACAAAGAAAATAACAAGTGTAGGGCTGGTGAGATGGCTCAGTGGTCTAAAGCACCTACTTAGAACAAGCTTAACAAAGCACAGGGACCGCGGTTCAATCCCCCAGCACCACATGCCAGCCAGCCCCGCCCTTGGTGGGCTGAGCTGGCCACACACACACACACACACACATAAATAAATAAATTTTAAAAAAAAAATAACAAGTGTAAAATATCATGGAGAAATTTTCTTAGAGGATTGGGACTGGAACTCATAAAGAGATTTTTGTTTGTTTGGGGGTTTTTTTGGTTTTTTCTGGTGGAACCGGGGATTGAACTCAAGACCTTATGCTTGCCAGGGAAGCACTTATTCCACTGAGCCATCTCATAAGAGATCATTTACAGCACAGGAAAAACAAAATGCATCTGCCCAGGGAACTACACAAAAAAATTGTGGAGCACACTGGTGAACTGGCAAGTGAACAGACAGGTGCAGCATCACAAAAACCTACTACAGGGTAGGCCAAATAGCTTAGCAGATTAAAGCGCCTGCAAGCAGGCACAGGGGCCAGGGGTTTGATCTCTGGGGGCTGCCATGCCAGCCCCACCCCTGGGGCTCGCTGAGATGGCAATTGAGACTAGGTGTGGTGGTGTGTGCCTGCAATCCCAGCTCTTGGGAGGCTGTAAACAGGCGGATCACTATGAGTCCCATCCAGTAGTGAGACCCTGAACACTGCAGACCCTTCCCTAAAATGGAAACAAAACAAAACAACCCCCCCCCCGCAAAAAAAAAAACCAAGAAAAGAAAACAGGGGCTGGCAAGATAGCTGAGAGGACTAAGTGCCCACTTAGGCAAGCTCAGGAACCATGGTTTGATCCCCGGCACCACATGCCATGTCAGCCCTGCCCCCAGGGTGCACTGAGCTGGCCAGAGTCTGGAGTGGCATACATCTATAATTCCAGTGCTGAGGAGACAGAAAACAGGAGGATTACTGAGTCCGAGCTGCATAGTGAGACCTGTGACAAGCAAATACACTAAAAAAAAAAAAAAAAAAAACAGGAAAGATGCCTACAGTGCCCTATGAGAGACAGAAAAAAAAAGATACATTTGCTACCAGGTAAGCAGTACTCATGTAGAGAACATGTAGATGCCATGTGTAAAGACTGTCTTGAGGTGACAGTTGAAGCAAAGCTTATTTCTGTGTCAGACTTTTGTTTGTATTCACATTGTAGTTCACATGGCCTTTTATTTTTGATGTTATCTTTTATGT